ATTTCGCGTATTCAACTTCCAGGTATTAAAAAGGGATAAAAGGAAGTGAGAAACGTGCATCGAAATTTCCTTTTGATATTTCTACCTCTTCGCACGACAGATTTACATAACAGTATAAAAGCATTTTGGCTTATTGTCATCTAAACGCGTTGAATTATTTATCCGTTTATTTATTTATCCCGTTGCATAAAAGCATCGAAATTGATGAAAATATTTTTCAACGTTTCTTAAACAAACCGTTTTGCTCTATATAAGGCCTTCGAGCGGCTTCTTCAGCGCAAAGATATTCGGAGTATTTTTGTAAACCGGAGAAATCCTTACGCAAGCGAAACACCAGCCTCATCTTTTACGGCATCTGAGATACGTCAGCAGGTACGATGCGTACACATGTTGGCAAATCCCGTTTCCTCGCCCGGCCAACTTTGCTCCCCATTTTTGCTTCCATCTTCGTTGTCTCCCCTTATCTTTCCCGTTCGATCACTTCACGTTGACTCTCGGGTTTCCATCCTCGCGTGCCACGAGATACATTAGCGATCCTTCGATCGTCCAGGGACCACGCTGCTTTCCTCGTGCCTTTCCAATTTCACGAAACGAAGGGACTCGGCCGGTCGACGTACCGGAGAAGCATTTTCCGAGTCCCACGGAGAAACTCGTCTCAAATTACTTTTCAAGAGAAGGGATGAGAAAGGCGACAACATTCGAGGGTTCTGGACTGAGGGAAAGTAAGGAGGGGATTCTCATCGAAATTTGCATGGTTCCGATATTTTCGCCATAAAAATCCACAAAAAGCACTCGCCACTCGATTTAGAATCAGAAAATAACCGACGCTTGGACTTTGCGCGCAACTTAAAATCACACGCCAGAGAATGACGTCGAGAACACTATATTATCCTTCTGTCAAAAGCAAGAAGACTTTATCTCCATCGACACGGTATTGATAATCGGACATCGCAAATATCAGACCAAATGTCAAGTTCAAGAGAGAAATTTTTAATTAAAAATATGTCGTATACTACGTAATAAATTTTGAAAAAAAATTATCATTATCAACCAGAGATAATTTAATACGTACTGTCTTAACAAACTATCAAGTTCAAGGATATCCCGTCAATTTTTGACGCAAAAATTCTTAAATAAATCTTTTTTTTTTTTCTTATTAAATTTTTAGGCAGTTTCAGCGAAAAAATGTTCAGAATATTTTTAAAAATACCGTAAAACTTTAAAAGCAAAATTTCATCTTTAAATGAGTTAATTTAAAATCGTTTCAAAATTTACAAAAATTTTATTTAATTTATATTATCTATTTCTGTCAAAAGATTTGTATATCTCACAACATGGTCACAAATATTTACATTGAATACAGATTGTTTCCTTCTTTCGTAACACTGTGATAAGAGAGTCGATCTTCGATAATAAAATCGAAGTGCCGATATAGAATAGCGATTTGTCCGAAATACGTACTATTTGACCGCGCACATATCTGAAATAATCAGTGGCATTTCAGCAGAATGGCTCTGTTCGTCGGGATTCTAAGCCGGCAAAGCGGTTCAAGTGTTTGGAGAACAAAGAGCATAGCGCGGATAAAGTAGTTAGAGAAGAGACGACGACCGTCGGAGAAGTTTCGCAGTTACCAAAGTGAATGGAGAGAAGCGAGAGTTCTCTTTCAATCGTGTCTCTGATCGATTTCGAGTCTTCTCCGTCGCGCCCGTCGCCGATGCGACGTCCACTCTCTCTTCGATCGTGGCCACGTAGACGAGGAAACTTTGCTATTAATCGAATACTCTTCCTACGATACTTCTCTCTTTCACTTATTTTCTGATATTCCTCTTATCCGATTACACAAGTAAGATTAAAAATATAGTGTGTATTAGCAAAAAATTACACGTACGATCGTTCATGCGTATTTTAACATTGTCGGACTGTACGAAATTCAACAATATTCATTCTGTTACTGTTACTCATTTATCCAAATTTAAAAAGACAGAAAAAATAATCTTATTATTGATGCTAATTTTTAAATAGAATAATTACAGTTGTGATATTTCGTATGCACTGTAATTCGAGTTGTTTGTTTGGGTTCCGATCGAACAGTTGCCGAATTTGATACACGCCACCTCACACGACATTGAACAACTGACTGAATAACGAAAGCAAGTTATTTTCGCGCAACGCTCGCGACTCGCGAAAATGCGTCGATGACTTCCATCCAACTAGGCTTCGGAGGAGCGCGTAATCGAGTCAGAAAGAGAGATATAGCCATTCGATATCACACACTACTTTCATTCCTCGAGGACAAAGGGCCGTCCCGTAAAGGGAGGATTATGACCGATGAAATACCGCATTAAGGGGTCCCGGTACACTCTCGATCCTAGAAACGGGCGCGCACCTGCCACTCGTCCGTCGTCAATGCCGGGATTCTTTCCGCTTCTGAACGCCGAGGCAGAATGGGATTGTTTCTCTCGTCCTCTTATTTCGCCCCCTTCCCTCACCCTCTCCCTCACTCTCACCCCCATCTCCCGCCCCGCGACGCACATTGGTCACGAATTTCATCTCTCGGGAGAGTAGACAAGCGTATCCGATAGTCGCTTATTGGATTTAGCAAGGAAGTAGTATTTCCCTTCGCCGCATGATGACGGAGGGGTGGATTCTTCGTTAAGGAGATTACCAGGACGGATAGCGCGGAACAACCGTTCCCGTAGTATGCCGCCCGACGGAGACGTTAATGTGCGTTAGAGATGGTACATCAAATCAAATGCACAATTTAATTAAGTAATAATGAATGCGAGAGAGAACGCGCGAGTCTCAATCGGAATAATTTAACGACACGAGATCAAAGCGATTAAATGATAAAGCTCTCTGTAGCGAGGCGAGGGTATATACTTTGTCGCAATAAATTTAGATTCCTCATCAATAATCAAAGTAACCGGATAATGTAAAGTGGCAGGACTTTCCTTTCCCTTTTCTTTCACGCTTGAAAAAGATACCGTTACTCTCGGTTTTTATACCGGAGATATCTACGCATCCAAACGACCGTGCATTCTCGTTTTGCACCCTACGACATCAAAAGCTATCCCCGTCTTCAAAAGCACCGTTATTTGACGGACTTCTAGAAATGCGGTTATAGAAGTTTATACAACGATTATATTATAGCTTCAGAATGCAGCCACCTTTGTCCCCGCTGGCACGTGTCCCATTGTTGCCAGCGACGAAAGGACCAACGGGGCAAGCAGCTGCGTCCAAAACACGAAGACAATAAAATTGTACACCCAAAGATCGCTGCAGTACGTTAAGAAGACAAAGCGACAGCGAGACGGAACGCCATTAAATTATTCTCGTATATTATAACTCGTAATGTTTTCACGACAAGTGCAAATGTAAATTTTCGATGGCGCATACAATAATCATGATAAAAAGATAACTTATTCAGTTGATTGGCTTTTGTCAAAAAAAAAAAAGAAATTATTACGATATCAAGCAATAAAGTAAATTGAAATGTGATATAATTAATAGCATCGAAAATAACAAAATAAAGATGCACAAAAACAAGTTCGAGCAAAAGCGGTGTGTATTCGATAGCAAATATTAGAATTAAAAACACTTAGATTAAGGAAACATTAATATTTATATGATATCGTGAATTATATGACATAAAAAGTAAATTAGTATGTCAATCCTGATAATATCAGAGAGAACTATAAACATTTAATTAACATTTTTATAAAAAGAGGAAGAATTTATCGAATCATTTCATCCTGACTACATTGTCATTCTTGTTAATAACATATGACAAATTAATGCCAACGACCTTATTTAAATCACAAATAAATGCGCAATATAAAAAAGGTCATTGTAACTATATCTCATCCAGTTGTATGAATGGTAAAATGTGATCAACACATGACGTGGACAATACATATGTTTAATGTTGTAAGCGCGTTTCAATAAAAAATGATGCTATTAGCGACACCATTATAGTATTCAAAGTAAAATATATCGCTATTCATAACTAACTATTAGAAATTTTCAAACTTGCGAATTAAATAGCACAGATGTGTGTATGCGTGCACGTGTAAGATATAAACTACCTAAAATATAAAGACAGCTAAAATATATCATTTTATACTCCTTAAACAAAGCAGTTTTATCCCCGATTAAATCGATATATTATACTGTGCGATATATATAAAGACTATACTTTTGACTATATTGACTTTCGAGAAGAAAAAAATATGTGACGGGTCTAAATTTTTGTTACCACAAAAATAGCATGACGTGTGAAAACTCTAATGTAAATAACAATGAGTTTATTTAAATCGCAAATATGAACGTAATTAAAAAATGTTATCGCGATTATATTTCATTCGTGACTGCGAATAAAATTAAACATTAATGGCAATGACCTCATTTAAATCGCAAATAAATGTACAAGATAAAAAAGGTCATCAAGACAATATATCATCCGGTTTAAATGGAAAAATACTTATGCTCGCAATAACACATATGTTTAGAATTAAGTATACCTCAATGGTAATAATATTGACATAACAGCACTCGAAATACAAAATATCAATATTGCTTAAATGTACGATTATTAAAAGCTTTTAAAAATGTGAAAAATCAAATAACTATAAATCAAATTTTCATTTGTAATCTTATCTGTTTAGATCCGCGATATTTTTAGAATGTCGTAAATCATTTGGAAAAGAATTCTCAAAAAACAAGATTGTGTTTCTCAACTTTCATAACAATAGGTGCGTGTTGCATATTGGAACGATAAAACAAAAAATAAGAAAGGTTTAAAGAATGACGAAATATTAAGAAGACGTGTCATATTATGATACTTCAGCATTTTAAGCTAAGAAACACATCTGTAACTGCAATATAAAAGTTTTGGTTTCTTCATTGTATTACATTACTGCACGGATAAATGAAAATACTAAAGCGCGAAGTTCTGATATAAAAAACGCTTCAAACTTACAATTCATTTAAAACGTTCAACAAGCATCTAACAGCAAGCAACAAAAAAAATGTTTAACATGACTCGCAACATGATGGTTCTCTTCTTTTTCGTGGTCGCCTGCATCAGTAAGTACAACAAAATTGTATCTAATATTATATTCTCCATAATATTTAAAGATAATTTCAACTGTACTAACAAATTTAATTACATATTATTTTTCATAACTTTTGTATTTTCAAATATTTTAGTAAAAAGGATGCAAGCTAAGATTCTACGAGTTTAATTTAAAATTAATGTACTAGTTATTTATATTCCAACAAATTCTTCTTTCAAGGAGAGTTTTAAGCGCGCCAAGTTTATTAAAGGATATGCAATTAAAGTGCTTATTTAAGCTTTGCAAAATCTTCTACATTAATTTTCATTGTAACTCTGGTATATTATAATTTATTTTAATATTTTTATATCTAGTTATTGTTTGATATGCTATTATTAAGTGATAAAAATTGATTTTTCTCCAGCGGAGTCTTAATAATAGATAATTTTACTCGCTCTACAGCTGTCATGAGCGCTCTTATTCCGCTGTCGCCGTTACCGCCACTAACGTGTCCTACTGAGCCACCACTGCCCTCCTATGCCGCCACCCTACCCTTATGCTCCTCTCCTCCCCCAAAGTGCCCTAAAGGCGAAATCTGATCGGACTGCAGATCAACCATCGTACAAGAAAATCCCAAACCAATTTGCACATTAGTGAGTAATCTTTTGCTGGATTTATTTTTTTCTTTAATTGCAAAACCTATTAAAAACATTTAAAAATATTTAAATTTAATTTTATATATAAATAATTTTCAAAAAAAAAACTATTTTGTGGTCGTATATAAAAAGGTTTATTTAAAATTAAGAAACAGATGCTTTTACCAATATTCTACTTTTATATCCTTTTTTTTCAGTAATGTATCAAGGATTGTTTCTGTCCGAAATGTCAATTGAAAAACTCTTTGGACTCATGCGTGGAGTCTTGCTGCTGCTAATTGAGATGTCATTGTAATAACGACTTATTGATATTTTCATGTGCAATTATTTTCAAGATCTATATTACAAGATAGTCACGTGACTTTAATAAACCATGCAGATTTAAAAAATCACATACTTTGTTATCACTTGCAAATAATTTCACATTCACTTTCAATTTAACTAGTCATTTCAACAGCATCTACCAAATCCTCTTTCTCTCTTACAATATTTACGAGAGACATCACCAATGCCATCATCATCTATGAGCTCCGAAGGGTGAAAATCAGAACAGCGATGTGCTGGCGTATTCGCTCGCGTTACCGACGTGACCCGCACACGCTTGAGAAATTGTCTAAAAGCTCACGTCGCACGCTCCTCAAACGAGAAAATCCGGCCCTTCTAGAATCCCTTTGAACCTGTCGATCCCGCTGAGGGAATGAGAGGAAGCGAGCGCCGCTCTTCCTATTCTCGCACCCTCGACCCCCATACCTTCCGACACGTCGACGATTGCCGGAGCTTTCTTTTCTCTTTTTTTCATCATTCTCTCTTTCTTTCACGATGAAACCCATGAAATCGCGTCACATTCGTACGCAATCAAGCAGTAGTTTCCACCCAGGGGCCTGGCTGGCTCCTGGGACCGGCTTTACCATCCGTCTCTCTCTCTCTC